TCTCATCCATTGTTTTATTTAAAGTTGATTTTTTAGCTGTGCAACACTTATGATTCTTGAAAAACTATTGTAAAAATGAAATCGACCAATTAAGATTTTAGTGACCCTTAATTCTAAATTGAAAGTTCTTATTAAGGAACTTTCAATGACACTACGTGTAGAGTGTTCAAAATTCGGCAATGTCAAATATTTCTTCTTCCATGATGTATATATATTATTAACATTAAAAGATCAATTTTTTATTATTTATTAATTTTAAGAATGGAATTTATTATATTGAATTTATTATATATAAATGTGTAGATATATATACATATATATAATTTAATTAATTTTAATGTTTATGTTTTTTTAGTATTGTATTCTTTTTGGCTGTTGCATTGACGTCATCGGTTTTGATTACTGAACGTACTGAGGTGGGTAAAATTACAATTATTATATAAAAGATTTTCAATAAATACAATATTAATATTATTTTTACGACTTCGATTATCGAAATAAATGTCGAAAAATGTCGAAGAGTTCTGGTCAAAATGAATCGATTAAAATGTTTAATGCGTTCGAGCTCAGCACTTCCATTTCATTTATGGTCGCTGAATAATTTTGGAATATTTTGTTTATTTGATTATTTGTGCTTTGCGCATGTGTAACTTTGAAAATGTTTATTTTGCCAAATTGAAGATTGTAGATGTTTGAAGATTTATTTTTATTTCTCGCCATACCACAAACGCCACAAACGCCACACAAACGCCATAAACAATCCCAAATAATCATTATAATTGACATGTTTGCACACTTTTGCTTTTCAGGGTTTGCTCGATCGTTCTTGGGTGGCAGGTGTAATGCCTGGAGAAATTCTCTTCTCGCATGTGATCACCCAATTCGTTGTTATGTGTGGACAGACAGCGCTTGTGTTGATTTTCATGTTGGTCGTTTTTGGAGTTACAAACAACGGACAGCTCTTCTGGGTCATTGTGCTAACATTGTTGCAAGGTATGTGCGGCATGTGCTTCGGTTTTCTTATATCATCCATTTGCGAACTGGAACGTAACGCCATCCAATTGGCGTTGGGTTCATTCTATCCTACGCTGCTCTTATCAGGCGTTATTTGGCCCATTGAGGGTATGCCAGTCGTGTTAAGGTAAGTTATAGCAGTGAGCAGTTGTGTTAATCAGACAAAACGAGTATGACACTCTCCACACATTTCTATATGCCATTTCAGGTACATTTCGCTGTGCCTGCCGTTGACGTTGGCCACAACTTCGTTGCGTTCGATACTGACGCGTGGTTGGGAGATTGTCGAACGAGACGTGTACGGCGGTTTTCTGAGTACACTTGGCTGGGTTTTGGGTTTCTTGGTGCTGACTCTAATCGTGCTGCGTGCAAAGCGAGGATAATAACATAACGTTAAACTGTGAACTGTGAAGTGGAAAGAATTAAGTTTATTTTTAAAGTAATTAAATGTAATTATTTTGGTATATTATATTAGGCTGTATATATGTAAGTGTATTGCATAAAGTAGCCTATAAAGTAGTCATCATAAATTCGTCTGAATTTCATATACAACAGTTTAGGATATAGGTATATAATTCCTACCTTATAGCGCTTAACTAACTGTAACTGTTTTATATGTATGTATTTCATATATTGTATATCTACATATAAATTTATATAAAATTTTATATCTTACATTAGTAGCATGAAAATTCTAGTTACTTCTCTACAAAATTCATACACTTTCGGCATTAGCTACTCCTCCTTCTCCTCCTCCTCCCCCTCGTCAGAATTATTCATATTATGTTTCCTTGCTCTTCAGCGCATATCTTCTTACATCTTTTCCAAGTTTCGAACTAATTTATTTAAACATTAAAAAAACAACAAAAACAAAAACAAAGCGAAAAACAAGAAATGTTGCCACTGTGCACAGTGGTGTGATTTTTTATTTAAATTTTATTTTTATTTTATTTTTTAAGGTTTAGGTTGTATTTTTACTTTGTATTTTAATTTTGTAAATAATGCAGATTTAATTATATATAAGCGTAGAATTAAAACAAATTGAATGAAAAAAAAAAAACAAATTGAATTAAAACAAATTAAAATCGAAAGCACAAAAATTATACACACTTTTGGGTATTTAAGTTAGCTTAGCTCTCTCTACCGTCCTACCGTCCATTTACATTGCAAAAACGCTCCAAAGTACCGACACCGAAAAATCTATGAATCTATGAATCTATGAATTTGTGAATCTATAATTGGACACTTTCTATACTTCAACTAATCTTAAAAATGGACTGTGATTAATGAATATCTTTTTCTATATAATGCTAGTACTTCTAAAGTTAATTATATTGAAGAAAGATATATACTGCAAAAGAACTAATATATAGAGTATATGTATATGTATGTATATGGGGAAAAATTTTTTTGAATACTTGTAATTTTCTTAATGGGTTTATAAATAAGAGTTTATAATTGCTTATTACAATTTTAGTTTGCCAAACAAAACAAAAAAAAAATAAATAATTAAACAAAAATGATGAAATTAAAGTTCGTAAAAAATTTTAAGTAAATATCGAAAATTATTGTTAGTTTTATATATATTTTAAATAAAGAAATCAAAAGAAAATAATAAAAATATATAAATAAAAGATGTGGTTGTTTTTGTTATTGAAGACGCCAGCGCTGGATGTAACCTATTACTAAGTATAATACCTTTAATAATTATTATTATATTAAGGCTAGTTGAGTCAGTGCATTTGAGCACTTTTACTCTCTATTAACCCCTCTCAACGCCTTGACTGAATTATTGTTTATCACTTCATCAAACTAAGCAATCTGATCTGCATACCCCCCGAGGAGTCTGTAACCATTCTGAGATTCAATAACGTGGTGTTGGTAAGCCTATCAGTTTTCGTAAATAATTTCAGGAATCTATTCTTTATGTTTTTTTTGATCGAATCAATCTTGACGTCCCTAAGGATATCATTCGTCTCAATGTACATACAACTTGACTCAACTATCAATTGTTTACCAGGATCCAGCGATCGGGAACGACCTCATCGAATTTTGAAACGCAAGCAACAATAACAATAGCGTTTAATATATTGTGGGTTCAAAGAAAGATAATTCGATTTATTAAATTTATTCTTGTTATTCTTTGTTAGCATTACAGGCAATACTGGAACATTGCTTCCAATTTTCCAGGATATGATGCGTACACTCATACTGTTACAATCACCTACTATAATATATACTATATTCTTCTTAAATTTCTTCTTTACATTACTTTATTTATTTATCTCAATTTATCTTAATTTATTTACATTACAGCCATGCTGGAATAGTGCTTCCTTAACCATTCTCGTATATCTGATGCATATGCCCATAAGATAGCCTATTATATCATATATAAAAATGTATTCTAATTCTTTAGTCTGCGTTAAAGCACTACAATCGAGAACCCTGTAAGGACATACACAGCTGATTACGAATATTTAGCTTGTAAATAGACAGCTATAGACTCACAACTAGGAATTTATTATTGAGTTTCGATCTGATGCAGCATTCCTTTTCAGAGGTCTCTGTAGTTTGCGATGAATGCGCTAATACTGATAATACTGATCTCTGAGGATCTTGAATAGATTGTACACTGAACCGATTTTAAACCAAATCCTTGTAGCTTTGAACTGAACTGCCGTTGCGATAGGCCGGGTTCAAAACCTTATATGAATCAATAATTTAAGATCGATATGTAATTGAAGTCTCAAAACTGACACGTATAAATCAGGTCAGCAAAGTTGATGATCTAAGTATGAGCTCAAACTACAAATCATGAAGGTAAATGTTGCTTCAATTAAAATCCTAACCATCCTTAATCCACAATTGTCGTTAAATAATCCCCTGTGCTTTCATAATTCCTATATTGAACCATATCTAAACCCATATATACGTATTTATATTCCCTTTCATTTGTACTCTTTTTCATTCTGTAAAATCGGCTCTTAGAGTCAAAGAACCTCTAATCCTCCTCAATGATTTGTTTTCGAGTCTAAATCTGTCTTAAATTTAAAGACTGGGTATCCGGTGTCAGATGTGGTACTGCAACCGTGCACCCTTCTGTGTTTACAAAAGGTCTCTAAGCCTTGTTGCGTCAATATAAGTAGTATAGAGAATACAGTTTAAGTATGTATGTATGTATGGTATACCCAATCTTGTAAGGTGGTATTGTACTTTACAGTGCCCTGTTAGGATTCCTGTGTTGATTCTAAGTTTTTCTTTTGATAGGTTTATACAATCCTGGTATCCCTTATTAATATATGTACCAATAAGTGATTTGAATTGTGATAATCCTGGTATCTTATCCCAATAATTCTTCCACATAACAAACGATTAATTTTCCATGTGTCTTTCTTTGAAATCATTGGTGAAATTGATTTGCTAATTAAAAAACAATTTCATCTTAAAATACCACCACAGTTGGTACCACATTTTTTATAATGTATTTTATTTATTCATATACATATAAATATGTATATATGTATATAAATTCTATATCGAGAGCATAGAACTCATATCGCAGTTTGTATACAATATTTAAAAAAATATTGTATATTTTTTAAAAATTTTGTTTTGATATGAATAGTAAATCGAAAGAAAGGAAAAAAAGTCTGTAAATAATATATTATTTATTTATTAAATAAAAATAAATAATTATTCATTTTCATCACCACAAAATGTTTAAAAATTGAACATCGCGCCCTCTATATATCAAAAGTATTTTATAGTAATCGATAACCTTTGCATGAATCATATGGCATAGTGTCATCGCTAAACATATGTTTTTCGCAACGATTTGACGTTTCCATAGGCGACGTAGGTTTATTTTCATTGTTATTAGTAAATAACAGGAAACGCAATTGCTTATAAATTTCTTAATTTATAAAAGTTCCAAATGCAATAACAAAAAACAAATGTAAAAGTCTAAAAGATAGTTTGGCGATTTTATTATTATGCGCTTTTAAGCGTAGTTTTCTTATATAAAAATTTTTTGCAAATAAAATGCAAAAGATAAGCAGACAAATGCAAAATGGATAAAACTAATATTGTCAATACATTTACTGCTTACGTTGAACAGCTGCGGAATCGGGAATGCAGGTAATTATCATAATTATTTAAGTAATTTACCATATTTACCACATTTACTATTATTCTTTTTCAGCCAAAAAGAGAAGATTGCGTGTTTTCAGCACATCGCCGACTGCATTACGCATCCCGCATTAGCGAGTCATCACAATTACGCCACACATTGTTCAAAGGCGACCAATGTGCTCCTCCTGTTCTGTGAGGATTTGGATTCGGTGGTGCGGATGTGCGCTGAGGAGAATTTAAATAAGATTTTTCGAACTTTGGAAAAGACTCGGGTGAGTCGGATTCTAATGGATTTGTATGGTGAAATCAAACGAAATGGAAATCAACGGTTTGTAAAATAATTTTCTGTATGAAAAAGTATTCGAATGAAGTGCTTTCGTTTTTTATACAAAATTATAGTTCCCTGCGTATTTCATTAAATTTGTTTGCTCATTACGCACCTCAAATCAAGGAAAAGCAAATCAAGTGGTACGCCTTGCGCCTACTGCATTGCATGCTGAACATTTGCCAGCGGAAGGAGACGCAATTATGTGAGACTTTGTGTGAATTTGTTAAAAACTTTGGTAGGAATCTGCAGCACGGCTTGACGGACAGTGAAACGTGCAAACTTTTCGAGGTGAGAAAAAGTTATACAAATGTCATTTAAATATAAGCCGTAGTTGCTGTTGTTACAAACCATGTTGTTCCACTATCGTTAAGGAAAGTAGACAAGCAAAAATACAAAGCGGTTACTCATCACAAGCGATGAGAAATGGCAAACGTAGTAGGAGATAGAATGCGTGGGTTATAGTATGATAAGAAGGGAGTGGGTGTGTAATAGTAAAGTAATTAAAAATTAGACTGAGTCAAATTTCAAGAGCCTTGTCATTTCAATATGACGCAGTCACAAATTATTTGAGTTTACATTGGTATGTGCTGTCATTAAATTAAAAATATGGGTGACGTAATGTGGAGTATAGCTATATAATATAGATCAATTGTTAGGAATACACACTTTAATGTATGATAAATAAATTTAATTTATAATTACAAATACGTGCACACGGATTAGGTTAGGAAAGAGTATGAAGAAAAAAATATAATGTGTACCTTAATTTTAGTGGAATCAACACATTTCTTGCTGCACTATGAAATTAATAGTAAAAGTAATTAATATTAATATTCAATTTTATTAATAGAATTATCTTTAAATGTAGGTTTTATAAAACTCGGAACGTACTAATAATAGTAAAAAATCTTTAACATTATAAGAAATACCAATTTGAAAAATGCTAGATGAACCGTCAAGACCAAAGACAGGCCACCCATACAAATCAGTCTCAAATAGAATCCATTCATTGCGATATATTAGCACTACAGAGACTTTACAGGCTTTACAGAGACTAGCAATTGTCGCTTTTGTGAAATCTGAAACATCTGAACATATTCTCTGTGAAAGTCCTAAACTGAACAGCAGCAAATTTTCCAATTTATCCATCTTAGCAAAAAACTCGTTACGATATATGGAACAAAACAAAGCAAAACCGTCAAATGTGGCGCGAGAGACTTCTTTTGAACAAATAGCTGGGTCTGGATTTTCACAATTCTGTAACTTCGTGAATATCATAATCTCATGCTATAGATTGTCTAATAGTTTACCCTCTACACAAAAAAGTATATTAAGTTACTCAAAATGCTTTTTTTTTAATATTTTTATATGTACTTACCTTGTTATGCTCAGTTAAACAGATGTGTTTAGGAAGATCTTGATGTGATGTGTGTTAATGCGAAGAAATATTGAAGTTTTGATTAATCGTAGACAGAGTTTAGTTGTTGCAGCTACAATCAGTATTTCCTGGACATGCTAGAATATGACAGTGTTGTGTAGATCTGTTGACAATATGGGAAACTGCTTATAATGTTAGGTACGGTATGCTTGCAATTGTCGACTATAGGATGTGATATTCTTTTGATATGTTCTTCTGTCAAGGATGTCAGTGCTTCCAAAACTGCAGACTTGTCGTTATCTGACTAATAGAATGATGCGGATGAGCGGATGAAATGATTCAGATAATACGGTAGTCGGAAACAGAGTAGATATGTTTTCGTCTACATCATTCTGCATTGCTTGTGTAATTGACATATCTTGAGGCGATCAATAGCTTTTCTTAAAAGTATTATGTGCTGTTTGTGAAATATTTGTGGTAGTATTCAGTTATTTTCCTTATTCCTTCCTCTATGAAGTCAGGTTATTCTTATTACATGGTTTTGAAACCACTGTTACTAATATCCACAATAGCTGCAATAAGTAAAATATGTTCATATATTATATATATATTAATAGATATTTTCATCAACAAATAAGTTTCTGTAATTTTCAAGCTAATGCATGTTGTTGTTGTAAGCCCTTGGGTAACCAAACCAGTTGAGGAGGATTCAGCAGTACTTTTATTATCTAGTAGGTAGTAGTTTTTTTTTATACTATAAATTATAATCCAATCAATAGATACTAACTGACAAAATTATAAATCACTTTAAGTAACAATATAAGAACAGAAAGGAAAGTTTGAAAACTGTCTAGTACTCCATATATTATTATGTGATTCCTAACCCTAATTTATTTTTCTGAAATCTTCTGTGGCTGTGCTAAGTTTGACACTTTATCCAGAATAATTCCTAGGATATATTCTGCTTAATATATGTTTAGTCATGAGCATTTTAAAGATACCGTTTTGAATGCTAATAGTAAAACTTGGTTTTTTAATCGAGAACATGAAGAGTGGGTTTGAATTTGGAATAACATATGATTTTCTAATATATCACTATACAGAAAGCAGTGCACAGGTACAAGTTGAACGGATTATTTTAAATTTTAATGAGTTTGTAACGATATTTTCTAGTAACGGTGTTGTGAAATAATTCTGAAGTGAAAACTCTAACAGACATATATCACTGCTGGCATTATTGTATCATATTCATTATTAAGTAATATTAATAATGAATATTATTAATATTACTTACTATTTTCAATTTTCCTTTCTGGGTGTAACCACGATGTTGTTGCTGCTGCTTTACGGTTTTTGCAATCCAACTAATGCTGCTAGGGATCAGTAATCCATTTATTTTTTATTTTTTACTGTCATTGAAATACGGATGCATATTGCATATGACACAAGCGGTTGACGATCGGCTTTGGAATAAAACGCTTAACGCTTTTGGTGCTGAAATTATGCATCCAAATACTTTAGCTTAACCTATTAAATCTTTTAACCGCAATTACTAGCATTTATTTCTTAAATTTTATTATTTAATATTTTAATTTATATGAAATTTTTCTTCTTAAATTTCTGGCTTCCAAGTTTTGATAAATAAAATTAAAAACCTTTTCATAAAAAATCAAAAGCAGCACGCCGCGTTCGTTGCTTATATTGTGGAAAGGATATTTTTCCTCCTTTTTTCCTGGTATTTTTTTCTGTTTTTTGTCCTGTCACCACTTGTGGTGTTTATTGACAATTGCAATTGCACAGTGAATTTTGCATGCAATTTTAATCGAAAATATTTCTTTTTATTAATTTTTTTCTTTCCTTATTTTAGGCTTTCATGGCAAATATTGGTGCTGAGTGCGCGGTGAAGCGACGCTGTTCATCACAGAACTGCATCAGTCTGATTGAGAATTCGCAGAATAAGAGTTTAATGGCCAAACATGGACTCAGCAAAGTGTTTGGTAAGTTTTTGAAGTGAAAATGCGAATATACTTTCTTTATTATTTGTGCTCTCGTTAGAGTTGAAGCAATTGCATAAAAACGAAAACGATGGAAGAGTGCATATCTGTGAATTTATAAGGGCTGAAGTGCGACGGTAGCAAATACATATAATACATAAACTAAAGAATATAATATAATTTAAATGAATAATATTTTTAATTCTTTAAATTAATTTATTTTGACTTTAGTTTTTATTACTGTCCAAACTTTAATAAATGCATTCACTATCTAAAACTTAGGTTTTGCTATAAGATATTTAACTCTAGGTTAGTTTGAAGTCACGAAAATCTAATATTTGTGTTAGCTAGTAGAAATAAAGTAAGACTTTTCTGAATTCTTCCTCAGAAAAATTTTAAAACTAACGAAACGATCGTGAAGTCGTCTAAATGGAGACTATTCACTTATCAAACTGTGGAATTTTGATACTAACGAAACAACTGAGGAGAGTCCTTATTTTATTTTCCTTATTCACCCTCCACAAGAGAATAAAATAGAAGTGTTTGTATAAAATATTCGCAAGAAAATAAGATCGAATTCTTTATAGAGAATATTCACAAAAAAGAAAGAGAGAGAGAGTTGTATAGAGAAGATTCACTTATGGAACTGCAAAATACTGATACTAACGAAACAATTGAGGGTCCTTAACTTTCTTTAGAAGCATTCCACACGAGAATTAGATCGAAGTCATTATAGAAAATATTCACAAGAAAATAAGATCCAATTCTTTATAGTGTATATTCGCAAGAAAGAGAGTTGTATAGAGAAGATTCATTCATGGGACTGCAAAATATTGATACTAACGAAATGACTAAGAAGATGTCTTAATTTTTTTCATAAGATCGGAGTCTTTATGAAGTCAAACTGAAGAGTTTTGATGCAAATGAACCAATCGCAAAGAGTGCATTAACTTCCTTATAAGTCTTAAGTTGCTGTGAAGATATACACTTATCCGAATGCACTTGTACTTAAAATTATAGTATATAGATTATTTTGAAAATTATAGCCCGGATCGAAGATAATCAAAACTGCTTTATTGATTTCTCAACAAAAATATTAAGAGGTTTCTTAGTCTAGACACCTTTTGTCTTTTAAGGAAGCATGCTCCGATTATCGACCACATTTCAGAGTTGAGATTTAAGGACATTTAGTATCTCTGTTTTAGTTTCAATGAATTAAATAAGGACTGCTATATTGAATATAGAAAAATATTTCGATATATGAAATTTCTTAATTTGTTTATGTTAGCTTATGAGACTACGTCCGGAGATAGCACAATATATGTCAAAGGTCGTGGTGTATTCTTGTCCCTTCTGATTTACATATAATAATAGTTTACAATCAGTTAGAATAATAGAATAAAGTAAATTGTTGTGATTTGGATGAATTTGCGTTATAGTGAATTTTAAATTTTGGGTGTTCAATAAAAACTAAAAAGCGCAGGAATAATAATCGCATTGTTGAGGTGTATAAAGTACAGCCAGCTTCAGTTGTAAACACCCATTCAACTGCTTAATGCACAATGCACAATGCAGACCAGGCCCAGGATCAGGACACTGGACTCTGTTTCGCTTGCATAAAATTCACAGTTTGCAACAAATTCAAATGCGAATTTTATTTTTATTTATGCACTTCGTTCTTCTATTGCTTTTTTGCAGTCTAAACAAAGTCTATATTGTTCTAATGAATAATAAAAAACTTAAATAAAACAAAAAAAAAAACACAGCAACAACACAAAATACAGAAATCTACAATATTAATAGCACAAAATTTTTGTCCACCCAAATCCTTTTTAAAAAGTTTGTGTCCTTTTATTTTTATATTGCAACTAAAATTTTCATGAAAATTCAATAAAAAATGATTTGTGGTGCTTTTTTGGATTTTGCACTTTATTATTTTTGGTGTTGTCGGTGTTGTTAGAGGAAATGCAACTGCAATCGCAGCAACATCGCGTACAACAACAATAACAACAACAAAAACTCCTGCAATGACTGCACATAAATGCATAAATAACAAAATTCCAAATTTTTTGTTCATTGATTAAAATTGTTAAGCTTTGATTCTGTTTTGATTTTGTGATTTTGGTTTTGATTTTTGATTTTTAATTTGAATTTGGATTTCTGATTTTTATTTAAAAAATTTTTTCCACACTCGTTTGTATACAAATAAAATATTGTTAGTCCTTAAATGCAGGGTTTCGTTGCGGTTGTAAATCGGGTACTAGGTCAGTGGGTAGCACAAGCTTATCTTTTGTAATTGTTGTGTTTAGATAAGAAATTTATGAAATTTAATATGGAATAATTGGACCATTAATACACCAACATCATTATCTTTTGCAAAGAAATCATTAGTCTGCCGAGCAATAGGATTTTATGACCACTATATTCGTTTAAACCATTGTAGAAAAAGGTTCTCAGGTCTAAAGCTGTATCTCTCGCAAATGATGCCAGTACCAATAAAATTATAATTGTGAAAGAAAATAACGTATAATTTTATGTCGATTTAGTTATTCATTCCAGTTGGTATTGGAGCCTTGACAATTTTAGAGTTTTCATCAAACAGATTTTACACACAAAGCCCTCTTATTCAGGAGTGAAAGATGGCAAAGAAGTATGAATGATATAATATTGAATGAACTGAAATAAGTTAAAAAGAAGTATGGTAAGGTTTATAGGGTAGGGATGCAAAGACTTAATCTAGACCGTAGCATTAATCAGAAACCCTACTACCGTAATAAGATGCAGCCACAAGTCTTTACATTCATATAGGTACTCAATTCATAGGGATGAATGGGATTCTGACTTGCTCAGAAGGTTATTAATGTTATTAATTTGTCAGAAGGTTTGTTACTCTAACAAGGACCTTAATCTTTAGGTGGCAGTGAGAGAATCCCCAAGCTTTATAATATGAATATTGAATAGAATAAAAAGTTCTGTCTAGCCTGAATAATATTGACGAATGTTAGTCAATCAAATTAAGATAGTTCTATTAGCAGAGAAGCTTATCTAAATACAATAATTTAATATCTGTTAAAATGAAAGTATTGAAGTTCGTTTGTTTGAATATGGAACCCTATTACTTTTTTGGATTAGTTGAGCTCTCTAGTTTCCTTTTATTAATATTTGAAGTGGTAAATTCACCGTAAAGTGATGTTTTATGTTGCGTTTTATTGCATTTGTGTGATGTGCCGTTGATATATGTACATCGTGCTTAAAATACCTTTCAATTATTGATGAAAATTATGCGCGTTGTTCATGTTCAATATTCGATGTTAATGTCAAATAAATAAAATTCTTTCGATTTGATTTTATTTAATTGCGCTTCTATTTCATACATCGCTTTTACACTGCAATGGACTGGATCTGTTTAAAGTGCTGCTTGTGCTGACCTGACCAAATGTTTGTGAAGTAATAACGAATTACCAAATTGCCACCATGCAAAACAGACGAAACTATTTAAAATTTAATGATACAAAACATTTCGTTTTAATTTCGTTAAAATTATGTTCAAATGCAATTTACAACTTCAGCGTATTATGGCCGCACAATTGCATAGGCCATCTCATTTATAATGCATTGTGATGTAATTATCACGTTAACCAATTCGCATAAATAAATGTCAGGGCATGTAACAATAAATGCTATCAAATTATGCATTAAACCAATATATCGCGAAATCCAATCTACACCGACGCCGTAGTACGCAAACGTAACAAGGTTTGCGGAGTATTTCAATAGAAAAACTAGAAGTAAGTTATATTCTAAAGACTGTACAAGACGACGGAATAATTTGCATACAAATATTAATAATTTCACTATGATGTACATTGTATTAACGAAGAAGTACCTTTCTCTGGCCAGGTGCAATAGTTTTTTTAAACTGTACAATCTGGTTCGTCTAAGGAAACCTATTGTATAGGTTGCTGCTTGAACTATAGTACATTGCGAGAAATGGATTTTGCCTTCAGTTAAAATTCGCCCAACTACACTAGTTCGAGAATATCAAATACAGTTATCACACGATTACTTTCAATTTCAATCATTGGTAAATATGGCCCTCAACATGCAATTGGGCACGATTCCTATCTCTAGGACGTCTCAATTTGACATAGGATTTAAGTAAAGTCCATTTTGAACAGCTCTATTACTATGCTAATTTGGCAGATATAGTACTATATATATATTTAGGCTTGAAGTTAATTATTTTTACATGTAAACTACCAACAATAATAGATGCGCTATTGAGACACCTACTATTATTAGTTGTTTAAATTATTAATATAAAAATTGCATGTACTAGTACTTGTATTTACGAGGAATTTGGATGGTATGTTTTGTTTTTGTTAATGGTTTAAATGTACATCTCGATATCTTGAGATCTATGGTATATCGGCATATGAAGTTGGTCTAAATAAACGTCAATATATATCCGTTGCTAAATCGGGGTGGCACGAAAATAGAAATCTTGTCTGCAATTAGGTATATAATTACTGAGTAAAATATCACGTACATATGCAACTAAATTTGGTGTTCCAGTAGAAACTTTTATAGATGTTATTATATGGAAGTAAAGATTAACTTTTTTTGGCGTATTTCCGAAGTCGGATAATACTATTTAATGATTTATTTAATGATCTATTTTAAAAAGTTGGCGGCGGAACTGTGTGCGGATGACTTCATACAGCATTTTTACATACAGCAATTTACTCTTTATAAATAAGAAATTTTTAATAAATAGAAGAATTAGTCCCATTTTTGAAAGTTTCAAGTCATCATCAAGTGAAATATGTTAACACAGTAGTTTCCTTCTTTTATGCATCAATGCAGAACGTACGAGTATTGATCCCAGAATATATTTCGCAATCTCACTTCTCATTTGTAAGATTTGCAAGAGCTAAGATGTATGTTAAGGTGATAGCTTAATCTACAGAGTCATATTGAAATTTTTGTTACAAATATTGACATAATCTTAGTTAATTTCAAACAATTCTTACGAGGACAAAGGTTATAACTTACCATCAGTCCTCAGAAATTGTCCTAGATGCAATGACACTGATTTAGTAAAAATTCTTAGCCCAACTTTCTCCTTTGATTTAGTCGATTTCGGTTTAGTTGTAGATACTTATCCCGAGCACTTTCACCAAAACACCCAAATATATAATCGATACTATCCGGGTCCTCTAAAACGATCATCTAGTTTTTGACGTTTAAAAATTCGTTGAACGTTTCAAACGCTGCGTCAATTTGTGATGGAACTATTTTGAGTATTCGAAAGTGAAAACTAAAATAATAATAATAAAATTATAAAATGCTTGTTAGGATAGTTTTAATATATAAGCGCAAAATGCATAGTTTTTTTTTCTAGTTTTTTTCTATGTTCAAATAGATAGTTTATCTATAATGTTTTATGTATTTAATATCTATTTTAAGAACATTTATCCAAACATCCATAGATATGCATTTTAATCATATTTTTTTATTGTATGCTCTATTATATACGACGTTTTCTAGCTCCCCTTATATCATATTACTTTAATGTAATATAATTAATTAAAACTCTAAACTTCTTCATTGCTACCTTAATTTCTACGAAATTTATTAAATTATAAAAAGGACAAAAAATCCTTCGTTGCAGTGACAATCAAATATTTCAAACAATTTAATTTTGTCTCTTTTCTGTTATATTCTGTCTCTTTTATTTTTATTATTTTTTTTTATTTTTTTTATTTTTTTTATATATTTTTATTTTTGGTTATTTGATAAAAGCTCAAGTGTATAAAAAAGCACCTACGTTTCTTGCTATAAACTTGCATTACAACTACACCATTCAAACATGGAAGGGGAGAGAAAATTACATTAAACATGGCTGACAAGCAGCTGTCAATCAAGTTGTCATTTTGTAAATATTTCATCGTCAACTGATGAAACTGTCGCTCAAGCGACTTCAAACTATGCACTCTCTACTTTCCCAGTGAACGCAGTAAACTGCAAAATTATTGTTGGTTTCGTTGTTGCTGCAATCGCTATTGATGCTGTAATATCACTGTTGTGTATCACTGATGTTTGTTGCTCTTGTTGTTCCTACTATTATTATTATTATTATCATAATAAATGTTTTGCTTAGAATTGGAAATATTTTCGAAAGTTAACACAGAATTTCTTTATAAACAAAATTAAGCGAAATATCACGACAGCAAAGTGAAAAGTGATAAAAAGTTTATAGTTTCTATCAGATTAATTTAGTTAGTTTTCAAGGATTTCAGCTAAAATAACATTTGATAAACCAAAATATACACTTGCTGCTTAAATTGGCATTTTGACGTTGGGATAATTTTGAATTCTCAACATTTAGTTTATTTTATATTATTTTTTTTTTTGAAAAAATTACTAATATGATATAGAGAGCATTGTGTAATTTAAATCAGATATAGTTAGTCTATGGAATTTTTTTATTCTAATATATATCGTGTTAGGAGTTTTAACGATCAACAAACAATGCATAATTTAAGGTCTTCTAGTTCTAACTATCTCCTGCAATATCCAAGATTTCTGAAGCATTTGTCTATTAAAGAATAAGATATAACTTTAAGTTGCTAGTTTTTATTGCTGGGATTTTAAATTTTCATTGCATCAAGGTCATCTACCCGCAACTTGAACTCTGTCTTTCTGAAGAATTATAAGAATCAGTCTTCTCTTTAGTCTTGTGGTTAAATCTATTTCTTTATCACAAATGCCAATAAATTGTTGTTTTACCTAGACAAAACCTATACAATAATGTGCATTAAAATCATTACAATAAAGTGTTTTTAGATAAACATTAAATTACACTAAAATAACCTAAAACATTTTACTGTCTCTTTATGGATACTAAAAAGTTCACTACATTGATTGAAAGATCGTTACAGAAGTTCACTAAGTTTGTAAAAGCTCATTATAAAATTCACTACTTTTGTGAAAAGATTCCTCAAGTGAACCCCGAAATGAAGTGTTGAAGTATGAAGTGTTGGAATTATTATTATTATTGAAAAGAAAAGATACTGCGACCTAAAAGATCTAATGCGCCACTTCGTCGGATTAGAGAGTTTCTCCAAGCCCGATCTCTTTAATGAAAGATATTATAGAGCCAATCTTTCCTAGTCTTGAATCCTTATGATCCATGAAATACTCTCCTAGGTGTTTCTTCCGCTTGTGCATCAGTGCCGGAAGCTCCCCAAGCACATGGTATGCAGTTTCTCTCTCTTCTCTACAGTACCTGCAATCTGAGTTGGATTAAATTCCAAATTTCGATAGGTTATTATTCAATCTACAGTGACCGGTGTTGGAAACACTACACTATAATTTTACTGTTTGAGTGCTTCAACATAAACACCTAAAACTTTCGGATGTGTTTTAGACTCTGTTAAGTGTACTATTTGTGTGCATTTTTTTCACATAAATAAAAAACCGTACACTAAATGTAGTACTTATAATAATAAAATATAACGAATCTATTGATCTTGGGGTCTATAATTGCCTGTGGTATTAAAGAACTTTTACTTCCCCTTGCTATGCCACTGAAAAGGAATGCTTGACAAAGATTATTTCTGAAAAATGTTAAAAATAAATACCATCTAAATTTGTAATTTTTTAAAGGAAAGTTAATTAATTTATATAAAAACAATTAATATGAATTAAACCTCTGTTAATTTTATTTGAATTATACATTAACGCGAACAAAACTCTAATTCACTGAATTAGATTAGATTTTTTTTCTGGTTTAATATATTTTTGTTTATGTTCCCTGCTACTCTATTTATTTTTCATTTGATATAATATATGTAGAAATTCAAGACACTTAGTTAAATGTCTTTTAAATGGATTATTAAGAATCCAATATTATTCTTTGTATTTATGGTTATACCAAAAACACTGTTGCTATCGAATACATAAAAACAATTAGAAATATTTATATACTCACATGTACGTATATTCACTTTTATTGATACGAAATTCACTTTGAAATTGCCATTAAACATTGATACGTTGCTTGGTACATTTAACTTATTCCATACTCGGGTTAATGATACTTCTTAAAGAAAGTTCACCGTCTGCCAAATCGAAGGATATAACAGGCTGCGAAGTTTATGTGGTTTCGTGTTAATTAATTGAAACATAAAAGTAGCGGACCAGACAAACGCAGGAGCACCCAACTTTTGCTCTTGATTTTATTTTATTTATTTATTTTCTATTTACTACTTGCACAGTAAATGAAATCGTTTCAATGAGCTACGTACAGACTGCCAAAAAAAATGGGCTATAATAGTATAGAATAGTACAGAACGCCAACTAAGCCGAAGTGCTCCAATTGCTTTGAATTTTATTAGTCCTCGTACAGCACGCACTCATACATTTTTATGAAGGTTCACTAAGATTTTTCGTTATGTGTAAAGTGCAATCAGTAGAAACTTAAAAGAAAGTCACTGCTGCAAAGTGTTTTAAAATTTTTAACCCAAAGGGAAATGAAAACTAATTGAGTAACACAGTTGCACTGTGGAAAAATTTTGCTTGCCGGCTTAGGTTAGGTCTTACGCTGCGTATGAGTAACAAAATATCTGCTATACGCGCATATAAATATTATCTCATGTGTGTGTATGTGTGTGTGTGTTGGCTGTGTTTGCGTTGTGTCTCCTAACATTGCTTACTGTTCACTGCTCACTGCTTACTGCTTACTGCTCACTGCGTACTGCATATGTGCGTGTAGTAAGTACCGAACGAAGAACTTCTTTGCGTTCACAACTTGTCTTGCTTGTGTGTATAACCACAGGGCGTTGAGTCTATAAATATTACATGAAAAGTTTTCAACAAGATAAATTTAATTGGTGGCAATTTGTTGCAAACATTCTTTTCCTCTCTTAAGTTTGATTTTTTTTTTTGTAAAATCTCGTTGTTTCTTTTGGAAAAAGTAAAATTAACTCTTTTTGCTTTAAGTACCCAAAAAAAATTCAATGTGAAAACGTAAAACCAGATTTTTCATTTTGCGTTCAAATTATTAGAAACAAAAAGTTGCATATTAGGGTCTGAGGGTCTGAGGCTCCTCACCAGTAAAAGTTTGAAAGTCAATGTTGCCGCGTGCTGCACTTAACTGCAATGATATTGAGGAAATTGGTTTTTGGGTATAAACTTTTAAAAGTATTCCATGTTGGTTCGTTGCCTGTAAAAAAAATGAAACAGTTTTATTGGAGAAATTTTTTTTCATAATTTACAGTAAATTATGTTTAAGTTTCTATAAAGAACTTAATTTAATAGTTTATAATTTATTTTGAAAATTTGGCAGTCATTGTTAAGTATTTTCACAATTTATTTTTAATAAAAGCCAAACGTTTTAATATTTGCTAACATTGTAACATATGATGGTTCTTAGTTATGATAACATTCAAACATTTTTAAGCAAGTTCTTTTGTTTATAGGGACAATTTTCTTCACAGAAAAAGTTTAATATTTAAAAGTGGCAGACATCTGTGCTATCTTTTGAATCAATCTCCATTTTAGTTTTTGCTTATAATTTAACCGTGTTTATATGCAATAAAACAAACCATTTCGGTGACAGCCAATAGATTCATAAATGATAGGATTGATGTTCAAGTTAAAAAAAAAAACAAAAGACGATGAGAAAAATCTATTAAATAAACATATAAGCTATACTATATTGCTATACAATTAGGTATATAGTGGTTTTTAACTTACTTGATGTCGTTCATTTGATGTCATTAAATGAATATAGAAGTACTGCTACGAGCTTTAAATCTATCCGAAATAGTTTTATATATGAAATATAGCATAAGAGTTTCAGATGTTGTTGTTGGCAAGCACAAAAGGCAATTGAATTGAATTTATCTGATCCTGACTTATGTTATATGTAAGTCTATTAATATTCGTATATGAAATATTGTTTTCTTTAAGTTTGTTCTCACGATCATTCAAAATACATTCATACCTTAAAACTTCCATCTTATAACTGAATAAATATAAGAAATATTATTGTTAAATGAAAAAATGGAAGGCCAAAAAGTAATACCATGCTATTTCGTGTTCCTTAGTGAAAAGCTTTTGTTCAAGCTCGTACGTAGTTTTATCTCCCCTGCATGAGTGAGTTTTAAGGTTGTCGATTTCGTTTCTTAAAAATAAAACATTATTGTAAGCAAAAGTAATCCTTTTAAATATCATATAATAAAATAATAATAATGTATAATATATATAAAAGTAATAATAAGATAAATAAGATAAATAATAATGTATTATATATATAAAAATAATAATAATACGAAACATAATAAATACGATAAATCCACAAACATATAGCTTATATATTAGTTATTTTATGTTTATAACTAAAAACATACTTGCAGAAGTCGATCATACCGCTGGCGAACTCGAGTCCTTTTTCCTGAGCCAAGCTCTTTAACGCATTTAGGGACGTTTCATACTTCAACTCGAGTTCGCCTTTCTCTTTCTTTAAACGCTTGTTTAATTTTTCTACAAGTATTGTCAGCAGTATTAATACATAATTGTAAAAGATTAAACGAAATCTATATTAAATAAATACCTTGGTATGTCGACTCTGCTTTGTAAAAACTGTCTACAATATAACCCATTTCTGTTAGTAATGCGGTATTCTCGCGTTCACTGTTTCGTATTTCTTCTTGAGAAGAGAGAAGAGAAGAAAAAGGTGAAAATGCATATTAACATTCATATAAAAAATACTCACTTTCTCGAGCAGAT